GGTGGGCGGAGGACGGGAGGGCGAATAGCTGGGTGAATGAGACAGAAAGAACAGAAGGAAGGCTGAAGCTGGAGCTAAACTTGATGAGGACTGGAAGGCGAGCCCCTGGGCCTTCTCGTCACGGGCTTGGACGCCATGCGCCATGTCTGGGGAGCACTGTGTCAGAGCACCAGGTCCAGGCCCAGGAGTGTGGGGCTTGGGGGCAGGAGGATGGCACCGTAGGGAGAGGAGGCCGGAGGGGTGGCCGAGGAAGGAAGTGGGAGAGAGGACCAGCGTTCGTGGAGCATCCGCCATGAGCCAGGACTCGCAGAGACGTGAGACAGGGGAGCTTACGGTTGCTGGCACCCAGCCCTCTGACGTCTTCTGGCCTGAGCATGAGCCCTTAAGTGGGGTGCCTCTTCTACGAAACCTGCCCGGTTAGCACCCAGCCACGTCCTCTCTCAGTGTGGCCCCAAACTAATGGCCACATCCCCCCAGGCGGGCAGCCTTCCCGCTTCTCTTGGCTTTTAGTGGAATAAGTTAACACTCTAGGGGAAAACTCTGCCATCCGCTCACCACGTTCAGTCCTTGGACTTTGAGGGCTGTGGCCAAGGGCATCCACCAAAGAAGAGGTTAGGAGGACGAGCTCCCCACCGTGCCTTTCTGCCCCTCCCCCCCACACCCCCTGAGCGTGAACTGTCCTTGAGTTAGCAGGACTCGTGGGCACAGGCCCAGCGTGTCCAGGGAGCTTCCTTCAGAGACTCCTCGGCCCCCGAGTGGGTGGGGGGTCAGCTGGGCACAGGCGCTGCCCTTCCTTCTGTGGGCCGCAGTTGAGCCCCACTTCCCTCTGCAGCAGCAGTGAGCATTGTCACTACCTCCCTGAGCCCCACTGCGGGTTGACAGGCTGAGGAGAGGTGCTGAGGGGAGGGCGTGGTGCCCAGCCGGCTCCCAGTTATCACTAGAGGTGGCCGTGGTGCTGTGACAGACTCTGGCCGTAGCCCACTGAGGCCATCTCGGGCCTACCAAGCTTCCCAAAGGTGGATGCAAAACTGTGAGATGCCCGGTCAGGCGGAGATCTGTACTCGCCACCACCTGTGTCCTCCCACCGCCTGCTCCGTCCACTCATCCCCGTGCAGTACCGACCGCCCAGGCGCCCGAGGCCCCCAGGGCTTTGCAGAGCAGCAGGGAAAGGGCGGGGTGGTTCACAGCGTCAGGTGAACAGCCATTCCTGCACCCAAGCCCCAGGGAACTCCACGGTGATGTCCCAAGGGCCCCTGATTCTCTGCAGGGAGAGGACTCTACTGCACAGACCGGAAATGGGGGTCAGGGCCTGGGGGCGTCCACGTCCCCCGCGAGGAGCCCAGACCTCTGAGCGGAGCGTTCCCCACCAGGCCCTCCCAGCCCACCAGGCCACTGCGGAGGCCACAGCAGCCGCCACTGCCCTCCGCCCGCCGGCGCTCCGGGTGACACCCTCCTTTCCCATTTGTTTCCTCAGGTTCGTCTCCAAGAAAGTGTTTTATCACTTGACGGTTGACCGGCCTGTGATCTACGACGGGAGTGATTTCCCGTAGCCCCGAGCACCCCAGTGTTAGAGGCTCCACTTTATCCACAGGAAACACTACTCCCCCCACCCCCCACTCCCTACCCACAGCACATCAGACACTAAAAAAACCAAAACAACAACGAAGGCAGCCACTGCGAAGCAGATCGACGAAACGGCGACAGGCCCTCCGCTGCTCCGGGTGCCGCCACCCGGCACCGCGGGCTCCAGCAGTGTCACCCGGCACCGCGGGCTCCAGCAGTGTCACCCGGCACCGCGGGCTCCAGCAGTGTTCCCGCGGGCCAGGGGCCCGGCTGCCCTCACACCACAGGGGTGCCCCGCCAAAGGCTTAAACGCTCACGAGGCCACCCCACCGGCCTCTCCTGCAGGCACAGTTGGTTCCACACCTCCTGTGGAGCGTTTCCCAGGCCAGCGGTGGCAGCACCTTCCGCCCAGCCCGGGCCTGGGCATCCTGAGTGACCGTGAGCAAGATGCCCCGGCCAGACCTTGGCGAGGCCCTGGGGTCCTCCCAGGGAAAGGAGGCCTCAGGGCCAGTGTGAGAGTCAGGGCGCCCGGGCCCCGCCGGGGTCCCAGCCAGCCTCTTCCCGTCACGCCCCCCCCTTCCTGCCCCTGTCTCGGCCATTTCAGAGGGGCCTCTGGGTGCACCTTCCCCGGCCCCTCTCTCTGGGCGAGGCCTCTCCGCTGCTCCGACGTCACCCTAAGAATCAGCACGGAGCTTCATCCACGAGCAGGAGCCCCCGTGCTGAGGGGCCGGGGGGCCGAAGCCAGATGCTGGCTCACGGCGACACCGTGACCGAAACGCGGGCTTGCGCCCTGGCCTCGGGGCGCCGCCCCTCCGCTGGCGGCCTGTCTGCGTTCGCGTGAGAGCTGCCTCCTCACCCGCAGACACGTTTACTCGTGGTCAGAATGAGGGTGAGAACCACTTTTAAAAACAGGTCTTTAACAGAAATCTTTGGTACCTCAGATGTGAACGGGTGCCATTCGTGAACCTGCTGTCTGTTCACCTTGTGGTCCCCTCCCCGCCTGCCAGGCTCCCCGACACCCTGTCGCCCACTGCTCCACCCGCACCCGATGCCGTCTCCCCTGGGGCAGACGAGGCCTGTTTCTGGACCAGGGGATAATCTCGTTCTCCGTGGCCCCTTCCCCCACCACAGAGCTCACCTTCAATGGCCTCTTTGTCCCTTGTTCACAGAGGCCAGCCGCATATAGCCAGGGTCCTGGGCCCTCCCTCCACAGATGAGCATCTGACGAAGTGGCCCGCTGTGGCCAGGAGCGAGGGAGAGCACTGGGCAGGGGTCTGCGGGTCTGGGCGCTTGGCTAGGGTGGTCCTCCAGCCAGCCTGGTGACCTAGTCAGGTCCCACCACCTCAGGCTTCGTGTTGTCATCGCAAGCCTGTTCTGACTGGTTTGGAGAGCTGGACAATGGGTCAGGGACCCCAGGCTAAGTCCAGCACAGCCCCCCACCCACTGTGCTCCAGCAGAAGACTCTTGAGGGGCAGGCAGAGATGACATCTGCAGTGGACTCAGAGCTCTCGTGTAAACCAGAGGCTTGAGTCCTTCCAGGCACAGGGATTGATGGACAGAACCTTCCAGAGCGAAGCTGGGTCTCGTGCTCTCTTTCCTCAGGACGGCGGCCTCTGACAGACCCCGTCAGGGTCTCCAGCATCTCCCACAGGCCAAGGCCCTGGTGGTGCTCAGTACCAGAACCGAAAACAGCCAGGCCCCCAGAGACTCCCTAGCCACCACTTGTCCCCACAGGCATGCCACACAGCCTGAGGATTGTTCCAGAGCAAATTATCCTGTCTTTGAATCCACCCACCCTAGGAAAATAATCACAAGTAGCTGCTTCACCACATGAAAGAAACTTAAGAGAACCCGGAGTGTCCGGGAACCTTGTTTTGAGCGCTTAGCTTTCCCAGGATGCTGTGGAGGCTGGCCCAAGCTGATGGCCTGCTGGTGGCATCCCCGCCATCTGCAGCTAGAGCCACCAGCTAGTGAGTAGCTGATAAGTTTCCTGCAAAAGGCCTGGGACATTCCATCCAAGACCCGTTCTGAACCTCTGTCACTTGGCCCAGCAGGGGACCTACGGCAGCTTTAAAAGCCACTTGGCTCTTCAGCCTAGAGCCACTTCTCCAGGAGAGCAGGGGACCCTGGTGTGCGCTCCTTGCTTGCTGGCTGCAGTCGTGCAAACAGGCCTCTGCTGCACTCCGAGGACTGCCCCACGCCCGCGGTCCGGTCCTGCCTCTGGCGTATTTATTTTTTGTTCTGGATGGACTCCTGTCCTTTGTTACTTTGCTGTGTGAGCTTGAGTTTGTGGTGCACTCTGCAGCTAGAGAACATCTCGGCCTGCTTAAGTGTGGCTTGTATAAATAGCTTGGTTATTTTAAAGAGGCTCCCAGCTTTGCTGAGATTTGGAGGTTGGGTACTTTAAAAAAATGCAAATGACAATGAGGAACAGCTATTAACAGCAGGCGCCAGGCCAGCAGATAGAATCGCAGTAGAAATCAACAAGAAGGAAACACCCTTGGGATCCCAGATCACTATTTAAAAAGCAAAAATCCAAAAAAAACCTAGCAGCGCCTCGATGGCCCAGCTCTCTGAATAACAGCCGCTCAGTACTGATACCAGCTGCCTTGTTCACCTCAGCTTCGGAAGCCACTAATCGGCCTCACTGAAAAGGCGGTCTCTGTCAGGCATACTTGTCCCCAACAAGGAAGGGTGTTTTAAGGTAAAGTGTGGCCTCTGCAGAGCTGTGGCCGGAGCCCACCGGACTCCAAGAAAAGGCAAAGAACTTCTCGAGCAGGAATCGAACCGAAAAACCCCACAGCGTTTAGAGAGCACAATTGAAAAGCCCTGTAATGTAACTCAAAGTTCAAGGGGATGGTCCTTCTGAACTTTTTCAGTCGTCACCCACCTGAAGTGATGAAGCTGTTCCAGATCACAGGAAAGGAAATCCCTGTTTGGGGATGAAACCTTAGAGTCTGTGTTTTTTGACTCTTCTGCTTAGATGTCCACCAAGAGAATTTTATAGGCGTTCCATTTGTAAAAGTCCACGTAGGTCATTGCACATGAGGCCATTTGTGGTCCTTGGAGCCAGGAGACTGTTGAGTCAGCCATTCATGCTGACAAAACACCCAAAAGATACTTTTTAGTAGAGCAGAGCCTTGGGTGAGTTTTTCTCATTTTATCGTGATTCTTCCAAGGAAGCAGGAAAGACAATAATTGCCTTTTTTCTCTTAAGTACTTTTTCAAAATAATGAAGTAGATCTTTCCATTTTGGGAGGCGTTTCTGATAAAAAGGCTTCCATAGAACTTTGCGCTGGTGTTATCCAGAGACGCTGCTGCCTCTGGTGGCTGCGGAGCACACTCAGGCCTCAGCTGGGTGGCTTCTGATCAGAACTGCACTTTAATTGACTAATCCTCAATTCTCGCGGCCTTACGGGATAGTGGATCTGGGAACCCACTTCATTCTTATCTGCCAAAGAATTACCCAGAAGCACATCAGATGCCAACGCCCCGCCTGCAGGGGGGCGGGGAGAAACTCTATCCCAAAACGTATTTCTTTGTGGCATCTGCTGCACCATTTGGAAATGTTTTTATTTTTAACCTCAGGATTTAAATAAACACTATGACATTGAGAGTGATGTCATCTTTCATTCCCTTGGGACCTAAGGCAGGTGATGAGGTCATCCAGACCGGGTTTCGAGCTGAGCCGCCCTGCTGGGAGGTAGAGTTTGTACCGAGGCTTTTCGGAAGGGCTGGAGCCAAGTGTTCTGGGGGGTCACCACACAGCTGACACCTGGGGACATCTGATCTACTCTGAGGCGGCTGTTCAGACCTACCTAAGCCAAGGCTTCCTGCAGCTCGCCTCCCTCCACCAGATGAGCCGCCCTCAGCTCGGGTGCCCCCAGCCCTTCCATGACGCTCGGGGCACTGAGCAAAGCGAGCTGCCGACTAACTGGAGTAGCGGGGTGGGGAGAAGGTCACAGGCGGCTCAGCCCCAATCAGTCCACCTGCGGCACGAAGCTGGGCGAGACTGCCCAGCCGAGGCAGCTGGCGGAGGGAGGAGGCCGCGCTCCCTCCGCACCTTACACGGTTCCTGCCAGGTCAGTGCTGGAGTGGCATGTCGCCGTCACTCCTGGACCAGTCAGGTCGAGCTCATGCTGGGGACTCACACCCCACCCCCGCTGGCAGGGCTCCCCTGCGTGCCCTGTGCCTGACAGCCCCTCCCAGACCCTCCCCTGCCCCCATGGTCGTCTGCGGCCAGCCTCTCCTTGAACCGGTCACTCAGGAATGAGTTACGCTTCTGCGTCCACGTTCTCCCTGATGCACATGGACCAGGCTTCGTTCATCCTCATCTCCCTCCTTTCCCTCCCTGACGGCATCAGCCCCGCCAGGCAAAGAGTAACCAACAGTTCCTGAGCCCGTAGGGACACTGGTCAGTCCCAATGCCCTGGTCACCTATACGCCATCGACAGTTCCACTGGCCCACTTGACAAGGGACAGAAGCTCCTAGAACTCCCATGGCAGAGAAGGGCCAAGGACAAGCCTAGGATGAGGTTTGGGGAGGGTGGAGGTGAGCTAAGTGACCCCTCGATCCTCCCCTTTGTACCCCCTCTTTATTAATGATGTCCTCAAACCAGTCCTCGTACTGTCCAGTGACCGGCTTGAAGTAACGAAAGACTGATTCATCCAAGTGCCCAAAACAGCACAGGAGAAGGATTTCTCTGTTAACAGGACAGGCCCTGCAGAGGCTTGGTGGCCTCTGGGACTGGGGCGGGAACGGGAACCCACTGAGACACGTAGACGTGCCTGCTGCGTCGGGGGCTGGGACTCGAGGGGCCGTCTGTGTCAGGTCCCCCATCGCCCGCCCCCCACGTGCTCACGCGGAGCAGCCCCAGATGACCAGTCAGCTTCTGGTTTTTCAAGCCCCAGACCCAGGGTCCTGGCCCAAGTCGGTGCAGCAGGCCGCCCGCCCCACCGCACCCCACCCCCGATGTGTGGAGGGACCGTGCTGCTTCCAGCCACGTGGGCCCCGTGGTGGTGGAGGATGCGGTCCCCCAGGTGACTCAGAGGGATACTTGGCAGGGTCACCCCTTTCGGTTTGAAGATGCGTGGGAAAATCTGGTGAGAGCCGCTCGCCGCCCACGAACGTCTGAAAAGCAAATGGTTGGTGAAAACGCGCCTGAGATGGGAAAACGGACTTTTTTTGAGAGAGCGGTTGAGGCTGAAGCCATTCACAACCGGGGGGAGAGCCCTCCGAAGTGGGTTAGGGGTGAAACGAAGGTCAGCCTGTTACCCTAACCACACCCGCTGCTTCTGAAGCAAGACGGTGCAGCGGAGCAGCCGTGCGACGGCCACAGCCTCTGGCCTTTGATGTGTGTCCTCTCCCGGGCCCCTCTCCAAGCTCTGTGGGAGGACAGAGACTGTGTGGCTTCCTCACACGTCTGGCCTGCAGCGACTGAGGTTATCTCAGAGTTTGCAGCCCCATCTGAAGCCTGGGACGAATGAAGTCTTCTCAGCTCAAAAAGGAGCCAAGCGAGACAGGCCTCGCCGGGCCTGAGATGCGTGGGTGTCCTGTCCGAAAGAAAGCCTCACTTGCTGACCGGGTTTGGCGTGGGGCCTGTGGCCGCATGGAATCGCCGGAGAAAGTAGTCTCAGGAGAGCCTCCCCAGCTCTCTGCTCCCCAGGAGCCTCTGACCGAGCAGGGAAGAGAAGGCCAGCACTCCCGCACGGCCCAAGACTCCACGTGCCAGGTCAGTGGGGCAGGCGCTGTCTTCTCCCTGGTTAGAAAGGAACGCGGATGGAGGAGGCCGTGAGGACGAGCCAGCAAAGAAGGGGCGAGAAAGGAGGGTGAGCGGGAAGGGCCTTTCCAGAGGCTTCGAGGAGGGCTGGGCCAGAGGCGAGGTGAGCAGAGATCTCCTTTCTCACCGGAAGAAGGGAGCAGGGGAGAAATGGCCGTGTTGGTGTGCGGGCACCTGGGCCGTTTACCAAACGCACCACACACAGACAGCGACCGCAGACGAAGAGGATAATCCAGTTTGTTCCTCTGACTCTGAAGCTGGCGGAAGGCCTCGGATGCTCTCACAGAAGGGGACAGGGACTGGCGGCACCATCAGTCCTCCCAAGGGGCCTTCGCACAGGGTCCACATGTGGAACCAGAAGTCTTCATAAGGGCGGCCCTTCTCCGCCAGCAAGGACCCCCCCCCGCCCCCGCCAGGGGATGGTTGGGTGTTCTCAGAAAGAGGACCCCACATCCATGCCCTGAGATGACCCAGCGGAAGAAGGATAGGGAGCCGTGTCCATCTCGGATCAGGCAGAGCCTCCTTGGGTACCGAGGGTTCAGACACCAGGCTATCGGGAAGAGCCCAAGACTGACTCAGGGCTTGGTTTTGATCCAGAGTCAAGCTGTTCATCAGTTTCAGTAAATAGAAAGCAAGTACCAAAGAGTTTCTTAGAAGAAAGTTCTTTTGGTTACTGGCGGCCTATGAAAATGCAGATCTGTGGACACCACCACATCAGCTCTGACAGATCAGATCTGGTTCGTTCATTCTGCCCGTCGATTCTGGCAGAAGGCGTCTGTGGACTGCACTGTGACGGTCCTTGCTGATCGCTGCTCCATGATGGTCCTTGTTGATCACTGCTCCGTGATGGTCCTTGCAGATCGCTGCTGTGCCACCAGTTTGGTTAGAGCTTGAGGAAAGGGGTAAATGAGCTAATGGACCTTTCTCCTAATTAAACTCTACCCGCGACCCTTACATCAGGGAGCTTGAACTTCTCCCTCAATCCATTGGCCCAGCCACTGGGACGCAGTGATGGAAATTTCATCCTCGGGGAGGAAGGCATTTCTAAATGAAGCCCCTAGTATGAAACCATCCTACAGGTAAAATCTTTTCCCAGCACAATGTTTAAAATGGCTCGTATTCGTGTTAGAGGAAATAGAAATGGAAAAATATCTTCTTTCCCAAATCCAAAGTAGTTCCATTCATGCCCACACTTTAAGACTCAGAGGAAGAAACATGAGTTTGGTACCAATAGATACAGGTGGGTGGAGATCAGGTTCAAGGCGGGTCCCTAAGCTGGTCCATACGCGGAATTCAGGTCAGTGAACTTGGGTGGGTGGGGAGTTGCATCTTTCCCCTAACTTCTAACCAAAATTTAGGTCTTCCCTGAGTTATGGATACAGACAACCTGCCACACTCATATGTATTAGCAAGACCTGTGATTTTGTCACCAGTGGAAATGACAGATATTTTCCTATTACACAACATCTATTGCAGACTTAAATCATTTATGTTCCTCTCCACTAGGAAATGAGAGCTGTGACGAGACCTGCTGGTAGATTTTATTTAATGCATTAATAAAGAGGCATGCGTATTACTAGTTCATTAATTTGTTGTAATATTTAGAGAATTAGATTTCAATATCATCGATTTTCTCTTTAACCCTATATTTTTTATTCATTTTAAAATATTCTGAGAAGGGGCTATAGGTTTCATCAGATTGCCAAGGGGGTGCATGAGGCAAAAAATAAATAAAAATAAAAATAAGACCATTGGGAGTGACGGGTCTTCATGGTAAGAAAGACAAGAAGATCGGCTCGTTGCAGCACTGTTTACTAATTTAACAGGCTCTTGACATAAGTCATCCAGCTGTTGCAGATGAAGAAACCAAGACTCAAGGAATGCTGAGTGTGAATCATCTAGAGAAAATGTTAGTCCTGCTGCCTCATGCTGACATGGCTGTGGGCGTGGTTTTCTCTAAACCGTTTTCATTTCACTGGACGTAGATTATCCAGTGATTAAAAAAACTCTTCCATAAAGCAGGATCTGCAATGGCAGCCCTTGACCTTCAAACCCTTACAATGTATCCGTCTTCGTTCGAAAGGCTGTGTCAGTTATTTATTGTCACAATAATGCTGCATAACAAACAACTTCGAAACCAGTGACTTAATCCGCTAAGCATTTATTTAGCCCACAGATCGGCAGGTTAACTAGGAGGTTCTTCTGGACTTTCTCCTGCAGGGCTCACTACTGCGTCTGTCCTTGGTCAGCTACGTGTCATCTAGGCGGTCCGATGATCTCGGCTGTGCTGTCTTACATGTCTGAGGGGCGGCTGCTTGTTGGCTGTTCCCGGCTGCTGGGCTCACTCCTGTGTCTGTGGTCAGTCGATTGGTCACATGCGGCTGGCTGGTCCAGATTGGCCTTGGCTAGACGATGGAGCTCTGCTCCACGTGGTCACCCATCCCCCAGGAGGATGGCCCAGGATTGTTCAGATGGCTGTTGGGCGGATTTTCAAGAGTGCGAACGGGAGTGCACAAGCCTCCTGAGGCCTAGTCTCAGCACCGTCACACCGTCCCATCTCTCGGCCAAAGCAAGTCGTAAGGCCAGCCCACACTCCGCGTGCGGGACAGGGGACTCCCGTTAATGGGGGGAACCGCAAGGTCATTTTGTAAAGGGCATGGGGACAGCAAGGGATGGAGAATCAGGACCATTTTACAATTGCTCTGCAAGAGTCAGCTGCTCTGCTTCTCTTGCACATCTCCCCCCACCCCAGTTCTCACCCTCCTCCAGGCAAACCCTTCCCCTCCAGATACACACACTACGGACTCCGAGACGCGCACAAGACTCTTCATGGGCA